TTTATCTTGTCTTGTGGCTTGACAGTATGAGTTGTAGCCAAGTATAAAACAATTTTGCATTAAACAGATGTGATAAAAACTGGACGAATTCTCTGCTGTGAGACACCTGCTCGCATGGTGTCAGTGCGATAACAAAAATCAGCAGCTCAAGATATTGTCGTCATAGCTTTGTAATCCGTCCTCCTCACACCAGTCTCAGTACAACATTAGCGCAGTTTTTCTGTTCTTATTCTAGTCTGCGTTTGCCTCATTTTACCTGTTTAAAAAGGGAGTATTTGTAATCAGGTAACCCCTGGAGTCTTTTTTAAACGTCAAAAAACTATTTGTGATGGATTACTGGTGATTTTGGATAGAACCATGGAACAAAGAAAACGCCAGTCGGAAATGAGGAGAGGATGTCTGGTAGGATGTGTAGCTGCTGTGCTTTTGTGGACTGTAGCCTCAGCGCAATTACGATATTCGATCTCTGAAGAAGTTAAAGAAGGAACTATGGTTGGAAACATAGCAAGAGATCTGGGATTAGATAAAAACACGTTGAAAGACCGGAAGTATCGGATTGTTTCAAGTAACGATGATCCCCTTTTCTATGTGAATCCAAACGATGGCGTTTTGTATGTGAGTCGGAAGATTGACAGAGAGGAGGTGTGCGTGCAGATCAGTGCGTGTGTGATAAATGTGAAAACAGTGCTAGAAAATCCACTAGAGGTCCACTATGTTGAAGTGGAAGTTTTGGATGTAAATGACCATTCACCTACTTTTTCGGAAAATAGTACTACACTGGAGATTTCAGAGTCAGTGTTGCCCGGGACACGATTTCAGCTGAAAGCCGCCCGAGATCGAGACAGTGGTCAGTTTTCAGTGCAGCGATATATAATTAGCAACAACGAACATTTCCGTTTGGAGGTTAAGGAAAAACGAGATGACGTAAAAATACCAATTTTAGTTGTTCAAAAATCTTTAGACAGGGAAACTGCAAGAAGCCATTCGCTAATAGTGACAGCACTTGATGGGGGCAAACCGCCGAAATCTGGTAACATGAATATTCTCGTAAATGTTTTGGATGTTAATGATAACGCGCCTATTTTTTCTAAAGACGTTTATTCAGTGACACTAAATGAAAATGTTCAGGTAGGAACACCAATTATTCAGGTAAATGCAACAGACTTGGATGATGGCCCTAACGGAAATGTGGTTTACTCATTTAGCAACAGTATGCATCAAAACATATTAAGCATTATTGATATTAATTCACTAACAGGACAATTAACTGTTAAAGGTTTAATAGATTATGAGGAGCAGGACGGATATGAAATAGAAATTCAGGCATCAGATAGAGGCCTGGCTCCTCTAACCACAGAAAAAAGTGTAAATATTAAGATAATTGATGTGAATGATAACGCACCTG